GACCTTTTATAAACAATTTCTGACCTTTCAGATGGTATAATTGGTAAATCAAAATTCTGCACATGAGGTGCTAACATCGCGGAGCTGCAATTATACCGGCTCTTTATACCCTTCAGGCCGGAACGCAGAAGGCGATACCTACTCAGACGCACTCTTAGACAGAAAAAGAGTTTAACCACCACTCAATTATATTTATTTAAAGAATAGTCCATAAAGATAATGCCATAAGGAATAAAGGTGTGTTACAGAAAATAATAATTAAATAATAATAACTTACTTATGCAAATCGATTTAAAGAAATAAATAGGCTTGCTTTTTCATTGTATCAGAGGTTTAAACGATATTCGCTTTCGCCTCCGCATTCATATTTCAGCTTACACAAAGTAGGTACGCTTTTGTTAATCTTAACGCTACAGGATTTAAGCTTAGGAGGATTACCTGCTTACAGCTTTCTTTCAAATTCCATTTCCTCCTCATAAATAATAAAATTTTCATGATACTTGAATTGTTTCTGATGAATGTTTATCATTTGTTGATTCAAAACTGTTTACGATATTGGATTACATAGTCATTTTAATATAAGTTTGTATTTCAAACTTTATCATCAGTCGTGGCCACAGGCGTGTTTGGTTACATTACATTAATACAAATTATAGACGATAAACTGCTCTTATAATTATAGGCAATCACAGTATGCGTTGTATTACAAAAAGTTAGGCAAATTTAATAGAATTACATATGTTAATTAAAAAATAAAAAGAAAAGAAATAAAAGCTGATTTGTACAACCGCAGTTCAACGTACTGTTAGGAGGGCCGCTCTGAAGGTGTTTTTAAAAAACTTTTACACCCAATCCCGGAAGTTCTTTTGGTTTATTTCCCCAATATTAAAATAATACAAAAAATGTACTAAAGCCGCGAACGGCGTGTGCGATATGCACTTAATATGGATTGGAGCTGCACTGCCTCGATTACCTCAAACACTACGCTTATATACGAAATAAAATAATCGGGTCAGCGCTTTTAACTAAATAGGGTTGGACATAACATCTCCCCCCTTTTGACGGAGCTCATCCTTCTTTTAAATAAGGGATGAGCAGATTCTTACAAACAACACAGTGAAAATTAGAATAATTTGAATACAAAAATAATCATAAAATAGTTAAATAAAATTAGTTCAATTATTTATTATTATTATAAAATCAAATAGAGTTGATACAAAGACATAGTAAAATAAAACTATTCTCAAACAATATCTTCACAAAATTATTAAACTTATTTATTGACATTATGAACTAGTATATTTTTATAAGATTCAGTGAACAATGAAATAGTAAAAGATTCAGTGAATAATGAAATAGTAAAAGATTCAGTGAATAATGAAATAGTAGAATATTCAATGTTGAATTAGTAAATTTTTTTTATTTCAAATATAAACATTTAATAATATTAATATCTAAGACACAGTGTATAAAATAAAAGAAATATAACTTAATTATAATGTAACATAAAATTTATGGTATAAGTATAGTCAAGTAATATAGTAATTAATTATTACATAAGTTTCGATTTGATAAGTTGAATTTACCAAATGTTCTTTTCATTTGATTTTGCACTGGCATGTTGGGTAAAGATATAGAATCCTTTTTATCATCGTCTGATGATGAGACTTCACTTAACTCAATAGAATTACTAACCTTCGATTCGTGTTTAACAATTCGTCGTGTATTGCACTGATTAAATATTTGTATACAAAAGCAAGAATCGTTATTTCTCTTAATAAAGCAACAAAACATTTTATAGGAAACATATAAAATAAAACAAATGAACAAGAAGTATGTAAACGATGAATAGTAATTACCATATTTAATAATGCGAGATTGTTCTTGAACCTTATTGATCTCACTTTCTAAGTTATTTAAGGAGTGATAAGAATATTTTAGAGTGTCCATGTCTAGGCTAGTTAGAGATATAGGGGATAAGTAGGGAATCGATTTGTTTAAAACTTCCTTATTACAACAATCGTCTTCTGTAATATTAAAGTTTAAATTCATTTTATTTTCAATTTTAATAGATTTAGTTGTAGATGGTGATAATTGAATTGTCTTAGAAAAACCAATACAGCTTTCATTTAAACTTACGATACCTGTTCCTAAAATACTAAAATCTTGTATTATATTATTACATTTTATAGTTAATTTACATTTTTCAGATTGTACATAGATAAACTTATTATTACTTATTTTATACCATACATCGATTTGTCCATATAAAAGTTTAGAGTTACATTGAGATGGCAAGGATAACGTTACTTCAGTTAACAATTTCGTTTCACAAGATGGGTTCTTTATTGTAGAAAATATAGAAATTAAAGGACATATAGAATCATCATTACTGATAATATTACAATCATTTAAATTATCTAACAAACTATAACTAAGTCTATCTTCTGTTATTCCAAGATAAGGCTTGGTGGGTTGAATTAGGGCGAAAGAATTAGGATTACTAGGATTATGAGGAGTTGGTAAGGGTATGCATTTGTATAAAGTGAACCTTAAAGAAGAAATCAGTGGTATGCGTAATATGAAAATTATTCTTTGTTTATAATAGAAAGATGTGAGTTTTGAAATATCTATCAGAGTATGTATATTTTCAACTGTTAATGGTACTGGAAAATCTAGTCGCTTATTTATATAGTTACTCTGTTTTAATAGCTCGCGAAATAAGTTTGTAGGACCTATCACACTAGGATGTAAAATGTTTACCTTAGAAAATAAGATAGAGTTTAGTACATTATCTAAGAAATTAGAAATAGTGGCCAAAGAGCTTTCTATTATATTAAGTAAAGCATATATTTTAGAGATGTGTGATAATTGGTCATTGTTTTTGACAATTTGGGATAACACAATATTTAAAGAATTTATTTGAGAATTTAATTTATTTTCATTCATATTTAGTTTATATATTGTTGAGTTAAAAACATTAATAGACGATTGAATTATGTGGATATTATCCTTCATTAGTTTTAGTAGTTCGGATTCGCTATTTTGACAAGCGCTAATGGCTGCATCGTACTTTCGTGCATCATCAGCATCTAGAGTTCCAAAAAAGAATTTCAAAAATTCTCCACCGAATTCTAAAGCTCGTTTATGCCTTGTTTGTTTCTCGGTAGAAACTATATACGACAAAGATTCGACTTTAGCAAAATTTGAATTTAATAATACTTCAATAGGGCTTATGATATCATTACATTCAACGAAACCACGGAGTTGCAAGTTTTTGCAGGGCGTCGCAGTTTTGATTATAAGTGAATGTATATTGTCTAGATGTGGCTTAAGTGAAACTACGTCTATATGCGTTACAACATTCCAAAAATCGTTATAAAAATTAATTGTAGTTATTTGATCGAAATAAATACCTGGACTATTATAAATAGGTAGAATTTGAGTTTCAGCGTTGAATTGGTGGCTTATGGCCCTGAAATAAAGTGAAATTAGGGATGAGTTGGTTTAATTTCATTAATATGGTATTTCACATGCTTACGACCTATGAGAAGAGTTACATTTTGTTTGCCATTTAATTTAATTATTTTATAAGGACCTTTCCAGATAGGGGATAAGGCTTTGCGAAGTCTATGGTGACATTTTAAATAAACCATATCACCTGTTTTGTAGGATATATTTTTACTATTTGTGTCATAATATTTTTTCGATGTTTCTTTACTTTTGATTATGTGTTCTAATGCCTTTTGTCGACTAAGATTCATGCGATATTGTAATGCGCGGATGTATTTATGATAAGTTGTATCGTTACTCGTATTATATAAAGAATTAGGTATTGTTGGTTTATGCCCATATAATAATTCATAGGGTGTATATGTAGTAGTGGTATGAGGGGTAGTGTTGTAGGAAAATACTGCAGTGGCTAAATAACAATGCCAATCATTCTGGTTTTCGTTAACAAAAGATTTAAGATATTACTTGAGTGTAGCATGGCTACGCTCTAAGGCACCATTTGTTTGTGGGTGATAGGGGGTAGCATGTAAGGGTTTTATTTTAAATATTTCAATTACCTGTTTAAATAATTCCGACGTGAAACATGTGCCGAGATCTGTCAATATCGTTTTGGGAATTCCGAACAGAGAGATAAAGTGAACTAATGTACGAGCTACTTCGTCACTGCTGGAAGTTATCATTGGATATACACATAAGAATTTGGTTAGGTCATCTTGTAGGGTTAATATGAATTTGAAGTTTTGCAAACCAGCTTCGGGTAGTGGACCGACTATATCTAGAGCTAATCTTTCGAATGGTTTTGTGCTTGTAGAAGTTATCACCATTTGAGCCTTATTACATGTTCTTAGTGGTTTATTTACTTGGCACAACTTACAATTTTTAACATAATTTTCTATGTCGGAGCGCATGTTTTTCCAAAAATATAGATCTTTTAAGCGGTTTAACATCCTTTTAATTCCGGGGTGACCAGCAATTGTTGAGTCGTGATTTTCTTTGAGAATTCGTGGAATTTCGGCAGGAGTAGGGTAAATAATTTGATTTCGGTATATATGAATTTTAATATTAGTATTGTGAAATATGTAGGCAATTATATTGTATATTTTTGTATAGGATAGTTTAGAGAATGGGTCAGCAAAATCGGAAATGGCTAAGTCAGTGATTTGGCTATTTCTTGTTATAATATTGTCGCGTAGTTGCATTAATAAATTGTAAATATTTCGGTATGTTAACTCTTCGTAATGGTGGATTTTTGTATACAAGAAATAAAACGTTTTATTATTCTCCTTAATATAAAAGATAGTGTAAGGTTCTCGTTCTGAGTTTATTAAACTTTCAGAGTTTTGCAACTGGGATAGAATATTTTTACAATATGGGATAGATTCATCAAAGTCGAGGGATACGGGGCAAACAATATTATTTAATTTAGAAAGGTGTAATGCTTCTTGATGTTCTTCGATTACAGTATTTGTGGAAATGGAACTAGTAAATTACTTTTTAAAATATGATTCATATTTGAGTTTATTAAGGACTACATTCGAATTTAAGGCGTGAATGGGTATGCGGGAAAGAGCATCGGCGTTTGAATTTTGCTTTCCTTGTTTATATACAATTTCATAATCATATTCCTCTAACTTGAGGCGCCAACGAATTAATCTACTTCCTGGATCCTTGACATTAAAAAGCCAGACCAAAGGTTTGTGATCAGTGACTATTTTAAATTTGTTACCATAAATATAGGGACGAAATGTTTTTACAGCGAAGAGGATAGCTAAAAGTTCTTTTTCCGTTGTTGAATAGTTGCCTTCTTGTTTATTTAATGTTCTTGAGGCATACGCGATCGGTTTGTCTTTTCCGATAGGACCTTGCGATAATACTGCGCCAACGGCATAATTACTGGCGTCTGTGGTGACAATAAACGGTTGCGAAAAATCGGGATATTGAAGTAACGGAGCTGAAGTTAATTTTTCCTTTAACAAATTGAAAGCTTGGGTTTGTTCTTGTGTCCAATTAAAATTAACATCCCTTTTTAATAATGACGTAAGGGGTTTTGTTATTTTTGAAAAGTTATCTATAAATCGACGGTAGTAACCTACTAGACCTAGAAATGATTTAATTTCCTTGGGATTTTTGGGAATAGGATAATTGGATACTGATTTTACCTTGTCAGGGTTAGGTGAGACACCTTTGTCAGTAATTACATGACCTAAATAAGTGACTTCGCGTCGAAGGAACTCGCATTTATCTGGTTGTAGTTTCAAATTGAAATCTCGAAACCTATCAAAAACAAGACGTAATTTTTCCATATGACTTTGAAGATCGTGGCTGTAAATAATACAGTCATCTAAGTAGACGAAACAGTGGAGACCTTGGAGACCAGAAAGGACGGTGTTCATGAGACGTTGAAACGTACTAGGAGCACCTTTTAATCCAAAAGGCATGCGATTAAATTGAAAATGACCGGAAATGCCATTTGTGTTGATTACTGTAAAACCAGTCTTTTCAGCATCGTTAGGATTGAGAGGGATTTGATGGAAGCCGGAAACTAAATGAAGTGTCGAAAAATATTTAGAATGTCCTAATTGATCTAATATATTGCTAATTAATGGGATAGGATAAACTTCATTTATGGTCACATCATTAAGTCGCCTATAATCTATGACAATGCGCCACTTCTTTTTGCCAGATGCATCCATTTTCTTAGGCACGACCCACACTGGGGCGCTCCACGGAGATATTGACGGCTTAATTATATTTTGTTTTAACATTTTTTTAAATTGTGAATCTACTTCGTCTTTATGGCATTGAGGAAAACGATATGACTTAACGTGAATAGGAGGGGTGTTCCCTGTATTTATCGAGTGTTGAATCGCGTTTGTACAGGTGAGGTCGTCTCCGACGAGATAAAATATGTCTGAGTATTGTGAACAACAGTCTAGTAAAAGTTTTTTCTCCTCAGAGTTTAAATGAGAGTGACGAATTTGTTCGCAGACGCGTTGAACACGATTAGAGTGGGTTGTCGAAATTGTATTTATGTTATTACACGATTAAAAAGATTTGGAATATTCATTAAAATCGATCGGCGTTAATTTAACCTTGAAATTTTTTATTTTAATTTGCGATTCGGTTGTGTTTAAGACGGAAACGTTAACTCTTTTATTTGCTTTTAAATTCACTAGGCAGTTCGCTAAATAAACACCATTACAAACGGTTTGATCTAGTATGAGAGCATCCTTAAGGTGACGCAACTCGGACGGATTATTCGATACGGAGCATTCGATAACAGTTTCGCTACGCGCCGGTATAATGTAAGTAGGTTCTGAGAAGTGGATAGGCACAGATATAGAATTTTTAAAACAAAGCGAATAAATATGATAATCTATATTTACCTTAAAATGACTGAGGAAATCGCTTCCTATAATTCCGTCGTAATCAATATTAATATCGTCTGATGTAACATGAAATTTGTAGTTTATGGAAAAATTATCTAAAATGAAATCTAACAGTAATGTTCCTAACGTTTCGTTACAAGATTGAGTGCTGTTTATACCCTTGAGTTTTATGATTTCCTTGGAGAGCGTAAATTTTCCATTTAAACTCGATTTTTTTATAATAGAAACACTTGCGCCTGTATCGAGTAGTAATCGTAAGGGTTAAACAGAAAGATTTGATCTAAAATAAACATGGGGTAGTGATGTTTTCTTACTTGATATATTCGTAATATACGTTGGTATTTCACCTTTATTATTAGTTAAATCATAGGTAGGGTTAGTATGACTCGAAATATCTTTTCGAGATGTAGGTTTTGTATAAGAAATAGTATCTTTATTAGATATAGAATTGGTATAAGAATTAGTACAAGAATTAGTATTATAATTATTTCTAAGACTCTGATATTGATTCAGAGATGTCCTGGGATGATTTTCCCGAGGTAATAAATAATTAGTATTTTGACTTTGACCTTGTGTCAAAGATGGACTCGGGTATTGTTCCCGAGGTGTAGAGTTAGAATAAGAAATAGTATTTTTAAAATTACAAGATTTAGTAAGACTCGGCGGCATTTGATGTCGCTGAGGTGTATTATAAGAACACTTTTTATGATAACTATAATTAAATTCGTTATCATTATAGATAGGCTTAGTATAAGAGTTAGTAAAATTTGTGCCTTGGAATATTTTCGATTTCGGTAGGCACTTTTCCGAAATCAGAGTTAGTTTAAATCTTCGTTACAAATATCGGCACTAGAGGTAGATGGTTGTGCGTTACATAAATGCATATTATTTCTATTAGGTGTGTGTGCACTGGGACTTGGTAACGCAGTCGTCGGGCGAGTATCCGGTTGCATATTAAGACGAATGCTATTGTTATATTGTCGCTTGCGACATGCATTTATAATAAAGTTTTTATTTGAGATGTTATGAGAATTAGGATAGTTATTATTTTGCGGATTAACATAATAAGCTCGATGAGATTGTTTTTTCTTATTATTATAGCAGCTGGAAGAATCATGACCGGATTTTTGACATATAGAACATTGTTTATATGATGTGGAAGAAATTTTGCTTAGAATATATAATTTTTCTTCTTCTATGGCATGCGTAATCGCCTCGCTTAAGTTTTTCGGATTTCGGCATCTAACAATATATCCATAATTAGAATTTAAACCTAATATAAAAGTGTTGAGGGCTAAATCCTCCATAGCGGCAATTCTTCCTACTAGCTCGGACTTATTCTCACAACTATAATGTATATCAGATTGTAATCGCGTTAAACAAGATTCAATTCAAAGCGAGTATTGCATTATGGTTTCTGAGTTTCCCTGTCTACAGTTTTGGAGTTCTATTAAAATTTGTGTGGAGTGTTTCTTTTCGCCAAAGGTAGTTTTTAGGAATATTTTTAATTCATCCCAACTATTAAAAGTTTTTAATGAGCACGCGATTTGGGCTTTTCCCTCTAACTGGGATATGATATAACGATACAGAACTGATTGCTGTTCCGAATTCGCGAGTGATATGGCGTTATCACAATTTGTTAAGAATGCTGGAAGTGATTCTCTGTCGCCATTGTAAGGTTTAATAAATTTTGTAAGGACCGATAAGGGAATTTTGTCAGACATTTCTAGTTCTTCTGGTTTTTCCTTCAAAGTTTTAGTCTTATGCATGTGGAATAAGAAAAATAGTTAAGGAGTTAGGAAATACAAAATTGGTGAAATAAGGATATGGTATACAATTAATGACAAAATGTAAAGAATTAGAACAAAGTAGTACAAAATTATCGCTAAATTAAGGTTAACTTACAATATCACGAACACTACGGCGAACATTGGTTGCTATGCGGGTGTCGTGTTGCGATGACGTGCAGCGGAGTCGAGTTGCCGTGAGACCCAGGGAGTCGTTTGACGGCAGCGTCCACGTGGTTGTGCGGTGGGAGTGCAGCAGCTCAGGGCAGGCTCACACGCGTGGGGTGAAGACTGACACCCTTGATGAACTTCGGGTTGATGACGATGGAGATGCCTCAAGCTCGTGGGGCTGAGACCTTGTTGGTGTTTTGGGATGATGCAGGCTCACACGCGTGGGGTGGAGACTTACTGTCGATCTTGCTTCAGAGTTTCCCAGGATTCGGATGCCACGCTACCGATATACGAGTAGACCGTGTGACATCCCACTTCTGACACCAAATTTGTTAGGAGGGCCGCTCTGAAGGTGTTTTTAAAAAACTTTTACACCCAATCCCGGAAGTTCTTTTGGTTTATTTGCCCAATATTAAAATAATACAAAAAATGTACTAAAGCCGCGAACGGCGTGTGCGATATGCACTTAATATGGGTTGGAGCTGCACTGCCTCGATTACTTCAAACACTACGCTTATATACGAAATAAAATAATCGGGTCAGCGCTTTTAACTAAATAGGGTTGGACATAACAGTACGTCAAGATGCTTAAGTTTGTTCATAAATTGAGTGAGGATATCATGGTTAATATCAAGGTCGGGTATATTTTTAGTAAGCTTTTTGTGTAGACGAAATATACGGATCACGGAGGGAGGAGGGAGTCACGACCCAAGTTTGTTCTACAAAATTTGTTCTTAAAAAGACTACACGGATGTCTTGGTATACTGGACGATATGAGATCGACTCTTGATGGTTACATGTGATTAAAAGTGTGTCGTTTCTATGATTACCTAGCCTAGTTATTCCACTCAAATTGAATTGAACTTCTACTGGTTACATTTCGAAGAGTTTGCGTTTGTAAGTTCGTTCAATCGAATAAATAAAAAAAAATATTGGTCACTCAGATACAAAAAGCTCTTTTGATATAAAAAACCAACTTTAAAAATATTTGATTAAATGTGAAATTAAATTCTATATTTATTACAACGGTTAAGTTTGTGGTGGGTGAGCTAATTTAAATTTGTTACGTAAATATCTGAAACAACTTCTTGAGCTGTCAGTTTTAATTTATGAACGAAACTTTATGAAGCTCTTGAAATTCACATAAAGTTTTTTTTTTAAATTACAAGTAACGTTTTTCTTCTTTTTTACATGTAATAAAACCGAAAGTTCTAGTAAGTGCCATTTTTGGGTCAAGTAAATACATATTAATTTCTAAGATTAAAGTCATGTGTGCATTGTCATGTTTATGATGACGAGGAAGTATATATTAAAGAGTGTATCTGCGTGACAGAATTCGTAATAATGATATCCGCAGTAAAGTACTCAAACTAGTCTAACGGATCAGTTAGCTGTAGTAGCAGTAGGCCGGTTATATAGCTTGAAAAAGCGACAAACGATGGGGATGAAAGGTTCTTGAGGGACAGCCTCGTATCGGTAGGTGTAGTACTAGATGGAGTGATGAACTGGTAAGACATGCAGGAAGTCGATGGGTGCATGTGGTTCATCATCCTCGTTATTACAGCTCATCACAAGTTCACTGCTGAACCTAGGCCTCCCCCAAGTAATGCCACAAAGCACGGTCCTGAGCCACCTGCATCCATCAACTTTCTGCATGTCTTACCAGGTCGTCACTAGTTATGTGTATATAGGCAGGTGGTTATATGTGTACAAAACGAGTATCTCATATTACGTTATTCATGATCGGTCTTTAATGTACAATTTTAGCCAAATTAAAATATATTGATTAAAGTGTATATATTACTCTCTAAACTTGAAAGTAATAATATTCTGCGAATATTAAAAAAAATCAATTACAATAAACACATTTTTCTTGGACGAAGGGCTTTATCTTAATCGTTACGCTTGGCCGACTTATTTTTGATTGCAAGTTCCAAATTCTTGTACACTATATCATGCCCGCTCCTTATTGACTTTCGAGCTCGGCTTACTTGGGAACTGATAACAGTTCGTATGAGCACAAATGTAGTGTGGCCGCCAGGAAGGAAAAGGGGAGATCTCCCGCCGGGCAAAGTGTTCTGCCCGGGGGGCGGCCAACGCTCCGAGTGTTAGTTCGGAGCTATTCTATATATATATATATATATATATATATACTGCTTTAACTTCGGAACTTTGTTAACGCGATTTAGGCTTCGATTTGTTTTGCTTGTAGCGCGACGACAGCGCCGCCACAGTAGAAACCACCAACGATTGCAGATATTTGACGATAGCCGTACTGAGCTTTATATGACTCGGTCAAATGGCTAGAGGTGGGGGTATCTGTGTTCACTAACCCGCCTGACCAGCGATAAGTAGGGCTAGCTCTATTTGGAAATGTATATAAGGCAGAAGAAGACAAATATGTTGTTTGTTAAATAG